CTTTTTACTACCAAGATGCAGTTTTTTGAGCGCAAGTTATTCCATAACGGATACAAACAATAACTGTCCCCGAAGAAATGAGACGTAAACAAAGGAATTACCATCCATATTACAACGTTATTGCTTCGTTGGACTAAAAGTGCTCTATGGGATGTTGTTCAGTGGACCCTTACCTTTCTAACTAAACTGGGATTTACAGCTGTGGATGCGCTTATGACTCGTTACTACGATGAATCTGATATGTACTGCATTTTGATTATGCATGTTTTGATGTGTACTGCTTACACAAATTTAGCAAATACATTCTTTATAAGCTTTCCATTGAAAAACAGCGATCTGTCGTCGATGCTTGAGGCTTAGACCTTTAGAATGATATATAGTTTGTCAACATTAATTAATCATTTAATCTATTCATAATCTATTCGTAAACATTGACGCGTGCAAAGAGCATTCAGTGCGCCGGCATCCAGGTGTGGGTTAACAGGTTAACTCTCTCTTGAGGGATGAGAGTTGAGCACCTACTTCCCGCACCTACTTCCTGCCTCCCTGGTTAGCTGCCTCTGCAGAAGAGTGTTGTTAGGCTTCCTCTCTTTATAGAGAGTCTATCTGCTGAGGCCTCCACTCTTTAGAGTCTGCCTAGATAGCAGTTCCAAGTTGTTAGGCTCTCTGTGAGCCTCCTTGGGAAGCTATCCTGAGCATAGGACATAGTTAGGCCTCCTCTGGCTTTAAAGAGTCATTATGCCGAGGCCTCTGTCTTTAGAGCTCGGCCAGGCAGTAGTGTCAAGTTGTTAAGCTCTCTGTGAGCATTATTGGCTAGCTGCCTCTGCAGAGGATCATTGCCAGGCTTCTTCCCACTATAGAGAGTCTTGCTGAGGTCTCCACTCCTCATAGCTCTGCCTGGGCAGCAGTATCAAGTTTTTTGGTACTATGTGTGCCTCCTTGATAGCTATTCTTGACTAGGACATTTGACTAGGTCACTTTAGAGTGTCATCATGTTAAGGTCTTTGTCTTTGGAGCTTGAATTAGGGTTGTGCCAGGTTGTTAGGCTCTCTGGGGCCTCCCTGGTTACTAGGGACCCCACTAGGCCTCCTCTCGCTTGAGAGTCTTTGCTCCACTCCTCAGAACTCCATCTGAATAGCAATTATGAGTGTTTAGGCTCTGTGTGAGCCTCCTTGGAAGCTGTCCTGAGTGTTGAACGTAGTTAGGCTTCCTCTCACTTCAAAGAGATGTCATACTGAGGTGTCCCTTCTTAGAGCTCGATTAGGCAGTGGTAATGAGTTGCCGGTTCTGTGAGCCTCCATAGAAACTCCTGGGTTGAGAGCATTTGTTAGGCCTCCTTTCACTATAAAAAGCCGTCCTGCTAAGGCCTTCACTCCCCTGAGCTCCACCTGGTTATTAGTGCCAAGTCATTAGGCCTCCTTGACAGGCATAAGATGTTGCTAGGCTGTGTCTTGCTTGAAAGTTATTATGCTAGGCCTCCATCCTCTGAGCTCAGATAGCCTCCTTGGCTACTGCCTTTTACAGAGGAGTGTTGTTAGGCATCGTCTCACTATAGAGAGTCTTTTTTCTGAGGCCTCCACTCCTCAGAGCTCCAATGGGATAACAGTTGTTAGGCTCACTGTGAGCCACCTTGGGAGGTTGTTCCATGTGTAGGGTGTAATTAGGCCTCCTCTCGATATGCAGAGGCTTCTATCCTTAGAAGCTGACCAGACAGTAGTGCCAAGTTGTTATGCTCTCTGTGAGCCTCCTAGGCTGCTGCCTCTTCAGAGAAGTGTTGTTAAGCTTCCTCTTGCTACAGAGTCTTTTTGCTGAGGCCTCCTCTCCTTGGAACTCCACCTGTTCAGCAATGTCAAGTTGTTAGGCTCTCTGTGAGCCTCCTTGATAGTTATTCTTAATGTAGGGGCAAATGTAGGCCTCTGCATGCTTTAGAGAGTACTCTGTCCTTAGACCTCAGTTAGGCAGTAGTGTCAAGTAGTTAGGCTCTTTGTGTGCCTCCTTGGTAACTGCCTTTAATTTAAAGAGTGTTGCTAGGCCACCTCTCGTTATAAAGTGTTGTCCTTTTTAGGCCTACACTCCCCAGAACTCTGATTGATTAGCAACTCCGATGTAAGCCTCCTTGTAAGCTGTCCTTAGTGTTGAACATAGTTAGGCCTCCTCTCACTTTAAAGAGCTGTCATGTTGAGGCCTCCGTTGTCAGAGCTCCGGTCATTGACTGTACTCCCTTAAAGGTGTTCTGCCCATGGGCTGAGCTTCTTTTTGACTTGGCCCTGCAGAGAAGAGAGAAAGTGTGCATGCCGGGATTTTCTCAGATAGGGTATGCTCGGGTTTTGGCCGCAGGGAGTTAAGTCACGACAGTCGCTGGTGCGTACCTTATAGGGATTGGGACTTCAGTGTCAGCCATTTAGGCACTCATCAATTCAGCATGGCAGAGTGGGTATTTTGTTCCCCATAATATCCAGATGCAGTGTGAATTCCCATTTTTAAAGGGAGTGTCTCAGGTTACACATGTAACTTTAGTTCCCTAAGAAGGGGAACGAGTCCCATTGCCTTGCTTCAGGTGTTCCTGCGCATGTCTTCTTCAGAGAAGAAGTGGATGATGTGTTCTACAGGCACTCTTTTATACTCATGGTCACACTGGTAGTGACTATTGCCAGCCAATGTCAAGTTCATTCCCCATAGTGTGCACTAGAGGACACAGTGTCTTGTTCCCTTTCTCAGGGAATCATGGTTACATGTTTAACCTGGGCTGTGTTTCTCAAAAGCATCATAAGGTAAGTTGATCATAGATACCATTGGTGGCAATGCATCTACGATCTATTTAGGCTTACTATGTTTTTGGGAAACACAATGATATTTGTGGCTTTAAAGCAATATTTTTTATAAAACACTAGGCTATAAATAAATGTGACATGATTTGACTGGATAGTGCTGAATTGCAGAGCTTGTGGAAAAATATCCACGTCGCTATTATCAGATGATTTATTGACTGCTGTTTTCTCACCACTGCTATTTTGCTGCATGCTTATTTTGTTATTGAGAGGAAAGCATGCAGCACATATTTACATGTTCATCTAAATGGCACTCTCATCAGTGTGAAAGCCAGGATGTTTGTTATAGTATAGCACTGCAAAGGTTTTTAAACTTATTTTTATTAAAAAGCAAAAAACTAATAAGAACTTCACTGTTATTATATCACACAAAATGAATATTTGCTAACTCAGTTTCTCACACACCTTTTTAATTTCTTTTCCTTCGGCTTTCACCGTGGACGAAGCGGAGTCCAGCCCGGGATCGTCACATGTGGTTGCCACAAGCCCGCACGCCGCCGCTCACTCTAGCCGCCGACCTCTGCTCACTCTAGCCCGCCGTGTGTGATGCTGTGTTTCGTTGTGAAAGCGAAACTACTTTGTTTGGCCTTCCAAAAGAGGACACGACTAGAAATCAGTGGTTAAGTTGTATTTACAACACTGTTCCAGAACAGTTCAACCCAAATATTCCGATGTGTCCAGCGCATTTTATGGAGGACTGTTTCCTGATCCTCTGAGAGTAGACTACAATGCCGGCTGTTCTGAATCACTTTTCAGGCCGATGAGCTTTGTAAAAATCGACGCGTTTCAGAAAGGCGGGGCATAGAGGAGAAACAATAATTTACAGTATGTGGAAAATAATGTGTTTTTTTAAGCTTAAACCGCATAAACACATTTCATTTCACCAAATACACAAAATAATGTTATTTTTAGCAACATCATATGACCCCTTTAACTTCGATGTTTACTGTGCATTTAAACTATGTATAAGGTTCACAACTTCATTATAACAATATTTGAACTCCATAACCTTAGACCTATTGCTCATTGCACATATTCTCAAATGAGCGTATCACAAAGAACATTCTGGGTTGAGTGAGCGGCCTTAAGCAGACTGAGCGAGTCACCTCCGCTCACATGCTTTGGTATATACAGTTGTAGCCATACTAATGGTGTAACAATAATACTGATAGACCAATTCATATACCAATCAATTTCTGTGAACTATCTGGGACAATATACAGCCCTATAGACAAGGTATGATGTGTTTAGCATGCCTGTACCTTTCATGCCAGGGACACCAGGCCGCCCAGGTAAACCCCGTTGACCTTGCAGCCCATTAGAACCAGATAAACCTGGGAATCCTCGAGAGCCATGAGGACCTGGTGGCCCTGGAGGCCCTGGGGGTCCCACCCGTGTGTAGCAGTGTTCACAGCTTCTGTGATGACTGTATTGGCTACTCAATAGTAGAGCAGGAATCTCAGCTGTAACAAAAATAATAATATTAATATAATAAGATACAACATACAAACATAATAAACATAATAAGATATAGGCATGCCTCTGGCCCAGAAGCCTTTATTTCTACTGAATATGTACATCCTGTTGTTGAAATAAACTTTTTTTCCACTCACCAGCCAATTTGGGTCCTAAATTTAGCTATAAACTTACCAGCTATTGAGAACAGAAATAAACCAGATTTTAAAGGTCATTCAAATATACTGTATTTGTTATTTATTATTAAATCTACTTCTGAAAGACTGAATTGCTTTCAGTTTTACTACAATCAATCACTGTTTGTGCTTTTTGTGGGAGTGTTGTGTTCTTGTGTTGTGGGAGTTGCCTGGCCACGGATCCAAAATTTCAATGCAATGATCTTCACTCTTGCTGGACGTTTTGATACCACCTCTGCAATTCGCTTTGGCATGCTGGATATTAGCTTCTGGGCCAAATCCTGACTGATGGCGATCCATTTTTTGCCTTATTAGTTCTCGGAGTTGATCACAATTTGTGGGCTTCTGCTTGTCCACTCGTCTTTTGAGGACTGACCACAGGTTCTCTGTGGGATTGAGATCCGGGGAGTTGCCTGGCCACGGATCCAAAATTTCAATGTAATGATCTTCGAGCCACTTCTTTATCACTCTTGCTTTGTGACATGGTGCTCCATCATGCTGGAAATTGCACGGATCATCACCAAATTGCTCATGGATCGTTGGAAGAAGTGGCTCTTGCAGGACGTTTTGATACCATTCTTTATTCATGGCAGTGTTTTTGGGCAGAATTATGAGAGAGCCCACTCCCTTTGTTGAAAAGCAACCCCACACATGGATGGTCTCAGGGTGCTTCACTGTTGGCACAACACAGGACTCATAGTAGTATTTACCTTTTCTTCTCCAAACAATCGATTTTCCAGATGTCCCAAACAGTCGGAAGGGAGCTTCATCAGAGAAAATAACTTTGCACCAGTCTTCTGCTGTCCAATCCTTGTACTTCCTGCAGAATTTCAGTCTGTCCTTGACGTTTTTCTTGGAGAGAAGAGGCTTCTTTGCTGCCCTTCTTGACACCAGGCCGTTGTCCAAAAGTCTTGGCCTCACTGTGCGTGCAGATGCTCTCACACCAACCTGCTGCCATTCCTGAGCAAGCTCTGCACTGCTGGTCACACGATTCTGTAACTGACTCCTCAGGAGGAGAGGGTCCTGGTGCTTGCTGGACACTCTGGGACGTCCTGAAGACTTCACTGCAGTCGAACCTCTCTCCTTGAAGTTCTTGATGATCCGGTAAATGGTTCTTTCAGGTGCAATAGTCTTTGTAGCAATTTCCTTGCATGTGAGGCCATTTTGATGCAAAGCGATGATGGCTACACATGTTTCTTTGGAGGTAACCATTGCTAACAAATACACAATGATTGGAAGCGCTTCTTCCCTCCTTTTAGCAATCAGTCTGCTCTTACAATCTAATTAGTATGATAGTGATTTCACCTGACTAGTACTCATTCACACTTTTACATGTGCTGCTGATATGATTAGTCAATTAATGTTAGCTGGTCATTTTGTGTCAGGATCAAAAAACAGTGATTTTTTTTTTTTTTTTTTGTGACAAGTTAATTTTTTTGGCCAATGAAGCTTTTAGCAATTATTTAAAAAGCATCTGATCACTCTACACAATAATCTAGAAACAATGTGAATGAACACCACAACAATAATCTAGAAACAATGTGAATGAACACCACAGCAAACTTTGCAAAACACAAAATTTATGTTACTGCCAAAACTTTTGGCCATGACTGTACTTGCAAGATGGAAGGAGAATGAACAGATCGTGGTTGGGATGGGATGCACCTTTGATAATACCATTCTCCCTTCTCAAGAAACAATTCTTGTATGTTCTTCACTTTTGGCAATTGAGTACTGGTGATCTACTGGGCAGTTTTCACCATTCGCTAGAGTGCCTTATATGGTCCGATACTAAACAATTGCCATACAACATTGAGATGCAGTTCATAAGTATACTCTTGATGATACTGCAGTCAAAATCAAACAGTATCCTGGGATAAAAATTTGCTTTCTTAAGGCCTTTCAGGAAATAAAGATGCTGCTGTGTTTTTTTTAAAGATTAATGAGGAGTTCATGGACCAGATGAGATCATTGTAGATATGAACACCCAGAAACAGGAAGCTTAAAACACACTCCACTATGACTCTATGGCTGATCTAAACAGACATTGCACATGGCTCTTAGTTTGTCCACAATGAACTCCTTGGTCTTCTGGATGTTGAGGACCATGCTGTTGTCAGCACACCACAGAGTCAGGTGCTGGACTTCATCCCTGTAAGCCATCTCATCATCTCTGATTAAGCCAACAACTGTGGTGTCACAACAAGCCGACGGTCAGCTGCCAGGCAATGTGGGGTGGTTTCTGAGTGTCAGTTGGCTTTCGTTTTTTTAGTGTGCTCCGCACCATTGGCTCTAGTCACCTCCTGGTATGGAAGAGTTATGTTCTCTCACACAAGCGCAGAGCATACACCAGGGGTTCTCAACCCTGGCCCTTGAGGCCCACTTGAGTTTGATCAAGGTTGGAGCTAAACTCTGCTGAAACCTGAAGGGTCAGAGTTGAGAACCCCTGGTGTACACGCTAGTTGTCTGTCAGCTGTAGTCTGTCCAGTGTGTTCAAGTGCAATTTTTTTTTTGCCCTGATGCAGGCGAAGCAATGTGAAACCACAGTTGGCTTTCCTCAGCGCTAGCACTTTGGCGTCAGTTTGGTGTGTCCCCACCCTTAGAACCATGAACAGAGACACAGTTATGAGTGAAGAGAGTGTAAAAAAAGAGAGCTTATCACACAGCCTTGCAGCAAACCAGTGTGCATGTTGAGGTTATCCAGATTAACAGGGGGTCTGTAAGTCAAAAAGTCTAACGCCCAGTTGCACAGTGATGTGCTAAACTTGGAGACCAGAATTGAGAGGATCACAGTACTGAATGCTGAACAACATTGGCTACGTTTACATGCAACCAAATAATCCGTTTGTAATCGGATTGACGGCTCAATTGGACTGAAAAGCCTTCATGTAAACACCTTGATCAATACGATTGAGCTCGATCAGAATGAAATTTCGATCGGATTGAAAGGGGTTGGTTTATTCCTTTTCTAATACGATTGAGAGTGCATGTAAACACTCGATCGAATTGAACCCCGAAACTGAAAGGAAACATGTGCAATGACGCAGAAATAACTTAATGATGTATGACGCGCGGAATGAGCGGTTCTTCCTTTTGAATAAAGTGTTGTATAAATGTATGTCCTGTCATTATAAAACTCTCCTTTCACTCGGCAACTGTGAAGTGGAGCAGACCTCCCACCAGTCCTTGTTTTGGATACTCATCCACAGGCAACCGTTTTGGGCGCGGGGAGGGGCATTTTTACTGCGTGAAAAATATGAGCAGCATGGCACAGCGGTTTATATGTATATTTATTCATAAATGGATAAATATTAATTCTGCTGTTAAAAACAAATAAAGAAACCGTGTAGGAGAGTGGTTATTATGTGCAAACAGTGAGAAACTCTATATTTGTGCAGTGTGCACATGTAAAAAAAAATCAATTCCGATTTGAAGCTTGTGACATATAAACGCGCACATCAACCCGATCACTTTATTTAGCGTTCATGAAAACACTACATTCAGATTCATCAATCGGAATGAATTCAGTCTGATTTAACCAAAAATTGGGCATGTAAAAGTAGCCAATGTGACATAAGAGTTGGGACTGTCCAGGTGGGTCAGAGCAGACTTGAGTGCCATGGAGATAGTGTCCTCTGTTGACCTATTTGTGCAGTAGGAAAACTGGTCCAGGGCAGTAGGAAGAATGGCTTTCAGATGTGGTAATACCAGTCTCTCAAAGCACTTAGCAATGATAGGGGTGAGTGCAACTGTGTGGAAGTCATTCAAGGCAACAAGGACAAGTTCCTGTGCCAGGGACAGATTGAAAATATCCATGAAGACCTCAGCCAGCTGACTTGCACGAACTCTGAGCACACACCCAGTTATTCCATCCGAGCCACCTGCTTTCCTTAAATCCACTGTGCTTAAGGTATTATAAACCTCAGTGGAGGAGAGTGAGAGGTGTAGTGCACCAGGTAGAGGATCCGCTTTAGATGTTATCTCCTTGTTACCCTGGTTGAAGCAAGCATTAAAGTGGTGAAGCTTTTCGGCAAGGGAGGCAGAGCTGAATGGGGGTAAAGAACTGGGCGTCTCAAAATCTGCAATAGTCCAAATGCCTTTCCACATACATTGGGGGTCAGCGGAGATGAAGTGCTCCTCAATTCCCTGTTTGTATGCATATTTAGCCTTGATGATGCTCTCCTGGGTTTGGCTGAGCTTCCTGATCTCCAGACCTGAAAACTGCATCTGTTGCAAACCTTTATACCTTTATGTATATTGTCAATTGTATATACGTTGTGTTGTTTATACTGCCTTGTTACAGAGACTTGAACTTAAGAATTTCACTGCCGGTACACCTGTGTACATGATGTGTAACAATAACGAGATTTGATTTGATTGAGTGTGATGGCATGTGCAGCAAACACTCTCCAGTCTGCTTCTCATTGACATTGACTACCAGTCTATGCTGGGGAAGTAGGAACAAAGAGAGAAAGACTGTCCCAGGTGGGAAGGGGGGTGACCCTATAGGCATCAGCAACATTAGTACAGATGTGGTTCCAAAATTGTATGTCCTCTTGTTGAGCATGAAACTTTCTGATGGAATCTAGGAAGTATATAGTTTGCAATAATTGAGGTCCCCAGCAACAATAAAAGCCCAGTCTTGATGTAATGCCTGCAGCCTACTGATAGCAGGACGGAGTACTTTTATGGCTATTTTATCATTTGCGTCTGGTGGTACATATATCACAGCAGCAATGATGCATGTAAACTCAAGTGGTTGGTAAAAGGGCCTGCACTTAATAAACAGGTAATCCAAATCCATAGAGCAGTGGGTGTCAACAAAGGTAAGAGTCAGAACAGCATGACTTATTCACATACATGCATGCACCACCTTCCTTGCTTTAACCTGTTGCCGCTGCAGTTCTGTCAGCCCTGAAAACCATGTGATCATCCAGTATGCCAAACAAGTGTCCTAGAGTACCCTGAGAAAAGTGACCGTTTCATCTTACACTAAGACACAACCTGCAGAAGTGAAATGCATGGTTGTTTATCCACATACACACAGTAAACACATTAAGCCATTTCCAGAGCTCATATCTGCAAAATATAGACTACTGGGAAGTCTGGTTTCATTACACCAAGTCAATCATTTTGGATTGACTTGAGAGAAGATGCCACCCTCTCCTCATTCCCTGCATTGTTAGGCACTTCCTCCCAATATGACAATGACTAAATATATTTTCCAAGTATCTCACCTGACAGTAACACTATACACAATTTTGTAGAGACAAGTTGAACAACACTCAGAACACTCAAGGAGATTGTCCTCGAGGTGTTTAACAGGGTAGATGTGACCGTTTGTCATGAACTTGTATACTCAATGCCATGAAGGGTCAGAGCAGTATACTTAAAAGTAATGAAGGACACACTGCATAATAGAATATTACTACTACTTAACCCTTCATTTAAGCAAAACGTACTTATTTTACAGATATTGGTGTGTGTGTGTATGTGTGTGTGTTGGTTTATTAAATTTAACTTTATATTCAGAGGGGGTGTACTGAATTATGCTGTGTAATATATACATTAGGACTATCCATTGATTCAACATTTTACAAACAAAATTTATAAATTCAATATCAATATTTATGTACACTACCTGTCAAAGGTTTTTGAATAGTAAGTTTTTTAAAGAAGTCTCTTCTGCTCACCATACATTTATTCACAAATACAGTAAAAACAGTAATATTGTGAAATATTATTACAATTTAACTATTTTCGGACTATACTTACAACTACGGTATTTTCTATTTAAATGTATTGGTAAAATGTGATCAAAGCTGAATTTTCAGCATCATTACTCCAGTCTTCAGTGTCACATGAT